GCTCCTCCAGGTGCCGTCGGCCAAACAATGTCAGCTGTCGGCCCCTAGGGGGAGAGTCTTCTCTGTGGGGGCACCAACGATCTGGAATGAGCTCCCCCCAGAGATACGGAGGATTCCGGATCTGCGCACCTTCCGCCGCGAGTTGAAGACGCTTTTATTTCATCAAGCTGGCCTCGCCTAAATCTTCTCCCTTTTAAGTGTAAATTTTAAATTTTTAATGTATTTTAAAATTATGGGTATTTTAAATTATGGGTATTAATTCAGCCAAATTTATTTAATTCATTTTATTCGATTTTAAATTTTGTACATCTATGTGTTTTATTTCATGGCTGTGCACCGCCCTGAGTCCTTCGGGAGTAGGGCGGTATAGAAATTCAATATTTATTTATTTATTATTTATTTATTTATCTCTAATTTGTTTTACCAAATTTTCCTCGTTCTGCATGATACCAATTCTCTGATCTTCTTTCCATCTAGCTTGCAACTGTCCCCCAAATCAATATGAATTTCTTCATGAAGATAGTACAACTTCAGTAATGCTACAAGCCTTCACTAAACATGTGCATGGACTGAACTGAGAACTGAGCCATGGTGGCACAGTGGTTAGAGTGCAGTACTGCAGGCTACTTCTGCTGATCACTGGCTGCCAGCAGTTTGGCAGATCGAATCTCACCAGGCTCAAGGTTGACTCAGCCTTCCATCCTTCCAAGATCGGTAAAATGAGGACCCAGATTGTTGGGAGAAATATGCTGACTCCGTAAACCACTTACAGAGGGCTGTAAAGCCCTGTGAAGCGGTATATAATTCTAAGTGCTATTGCTATTGCTATAATAGGAATGTAACTCAGAGCAACATCACATAAACACCACTGTCAATGTATAGTGCCATTGGTCATTCTTAACATATTTTTTAATTGGTAGGATATTTCTTCCCCATTTTATTTCCTTCAAAAAATGGAGTCCGTTCCATCTAATGGTTAAGGCATCAGACTACATACAAGTCAGGAGACTATAAATTAAATTCCCACATTAGGCATGAAAGCCGGCTGAGTGACATTGGGCCCATCACCAGGACACTGTGAGTTCTAATCCTGCTTAGACATGAAAGTCTTTGGGCCACTTACTGTGTCTCAGCCCAACCCACCTCACAGGACTGTTGTTGGAGGGGAAATAGGAGGAAGAAGCATTATGTATGTTCCACATCTTGAGTTATTTATAAAAATAATAAAGATATGAAATAAACTAATACCACTAATGACTTGCTAACTTCTATATATCGGATCACATATCTCTCTCTCGCATATTTCACCTCTTCTGCTTTATGTATTTATCAGTGCATAAAACCCTGACTGCAAAATTGTACAGTAAGACTATTAATCCAAGTTGTGAATTCAATTTAGTGATGCAGCAAACTTTAGATACGAGCCCCCTTCTCTCAAGTGCCTATAGAGTTGTCTTAAATTATACAAAATATAGAAGCAATAAAATGAATAAGGATTACTATCCCGCCAGCAAATGTCATTACTGTTAATGAATTAGCAAATGCCAGCGACTATGTATGCTATTTCCTACAAAAATGCTAAATTTTCATTATACAAATAGCTTGTACACCTCTGACAACCTTCTCAGTAGCTTGTATAGACACAGCATCTCTGGGGGAAAAGCCATAAGGAAAGAGCTTATTAAATTTTGTAAATCATCAGGCTTGCCTAGAAATGTATCGCTCAGTAGGTGATTTAGTTGTTGGCTTTGAAACTCTGCTATTAGGTCCATTAAACCGAGTCCAAAGTTTAACTTGCCTTGTAAATTATATACAGAAGAAACAGAAATGGAGAACGCTGTTTGCAAAACTATACAGCGCTAGTACTGCAAACCTTAGACACGAAAGCCAGCTGGGTGACATTGAGCCAGTCACTCTCTCTCAAGCCAACACACCTCACAAGGCTGTTGTTGTGGGGAAGAGGAAGAAGGAGTATTAGATATGTTTGTGGCCTTGAGCTGTTTATACATGGGGCTCTACATGGGGCTCCCCTTGGGGTGCACCCGGAGGCTGCAGTTAGTCCAGAATGCGGCCGCGCGGGGGATTATGGGAGCGACGGGGCGCTCACATATGACCCCTCTCCTGCGTGAGCTGCACTGGCTTCCTGTGGTCTTCCAGGTGCGCTTCAAGGTGTTGGTGACCACCTTTAAAGCACTCCATGGCTTAGGGCCGGGGTATCTGCGAGACCGCCTTCTGCCACCAATAGCCTCCTACCGACCGGTTCGCTCGCACAGAGAGGGCCTCCTCAGGGTGCCGTCGGCCAGACAGTGCCAGCTGGCGACCCCCAGGGGGAGAGCCTTCTCTGTGGCAGCACCTGCCCTCTGGAATGACCTACCCCCTGAGATACGCACGATATCAGACCTCCGGATTTTTCATCGGGCCCTGAAAACACACTTATTCCATCTAGCTGGGCTGGCTTGATCCCATCCTCTCAGTTTTAATTGAATTCGGTTTTAATTGGGTTGTTTTAAATCTTGGGCCGAAATTATTTAATTGTTTTTTAAATTGTTTTTAAATTTTATATGCAATGTTTTATCTCGGCTGTACACTACCCTGAGTCCCGCAGGAGAAGGGCGGTATAAAAATAAAATAAATTATATATATATATATAAAAATAATAAACGTGCAATAAAAAATACATGCATAGAAAATGATTATTTCTGGGTTATACAGTACATGGATGCATATTAAATGACTGCTTATCATTTGCTCCTAAACATTTTTGTGTGTACATTGTTGATATTCTAGGACTTTCCATTGGGAAGGTTGTAAACAACTGAAGGCTGATCTATAGTTGTAACTCCATTCAGTTCACTTCAGTTTTTTACTAACAACTAAGCTACCCAAATAAATCCACTCTAGAATACAGAGTGGTTCAAAGCTCCATTGATAAATTCTTCCATCCTGGAAGCAAAATCTTTCCCTATTTAACACATCTCCTTTTCGACACAACAGTTCAGTCCTGACAAGTGAGAAAAGACTCAGGCAAGTAGAGCTAGACAGATGATAAAACCTGTAGAAACAAACCAGATGCTGCTAAGGTCTTCTTCACACATGGGTGTTTTTTTTTTAGATCACACAAGATTAAACTGTAAGAATACGGATTTATTTTATCACATTACAGTTGTTAATTAACTTATCAATGCCAGGATGTTTATCCAAACTACTTTGTGAACATTTTCCGTAATTATTTGCATACTTCTAAACATTTGTGTAATTATCAGCTTGTATATTCTTCCATTCTAGCTTGTCTATTCGAGTTTTTTGTCAAGCTGTGACTTAGTCACAGAGCATAGTTCTGCTCTTCAAGTAAAGTCTTCCTCTGCTATAACTGGAGAATATGAAGAAGCTATCAAAAGAAGAGAGTATTTGTAGTTCAGGGTTGAACTGTAGGGTTCTTATTACTGAGTTTGGTGGTTTTCTTGCAGACGTTTCATTACCCAGTTAGATAATATCATCAGTGCTGATGTTGGGTAATGAAACGTCTGCAAGATAACCACCAAACTCAGTATGGAGCCCCTTAAACAACAGGGGAAACCACAAAATATTATTTTACCTATCTCACTGATAGCAACCCCTAACATATCATGCATTTTTTTTTTTTTATTTGATTTATATGCCGCCCTTCTCCGGAGACTCAGGGCGGCTTACAATGCGTTAAGCAATAGCCTTCATTCTTTTGTATGTTTTATACAAAGTCAGCTTATTGCCCCCACAAACTGGGTCCTCATTTCACCTACCTTAGAAAGGATGGAAGGCTGAGTCAACCTTGAGCCTTGGAGAGATTCGAACCAGCAGAAATTGCAGGCAGCTGTGTTAATTACAGGGTGCACTAAACCCCTGTACTATCAAGGCATTTAAGAATATGTAGAAATATGTATTGCTGGTCGTGCTGTTTCAGACTAACATAAATGTTAGTTCCTTTTTGTCAATTGCTGCTTTCACCTATTCATTAAAATTGCTGGTTTGGAAAGTGCTATCTGATTTTTTTGGGTACCACAGATTAATATGGTTCTCAGAGCCCCAAAATTGCTTTTTCAAAAAAGCAACTGGACTTTGTTTGTCTTTGAAGAAAGACATTTCCCTTCTCATCCCAGAAGCTTCTTCAGTTTATCTTCAAGGAAAAACAAAGAAAGTCCAGTTGCCTTTTGAAAAAGCACCTTTGATACATCTATGACCTGGATGACTCTGAATCTTCATAGACCTGGTTCTCAGAGGGTACACATGGAATGGTTAAAAACATCAATGATAGTCACTTTTTTAAAAAAAAACTCCATCATGCAGCTTGACTCTTTTTTACCAAACATTTCATTTGGTAATTTGTAATTTTCATTTGCAAACTTGCAATCTAGCATGAAGTTTAACTGCTGACTTCTTATGCTATACTGTACTTTTCATTAAAAAAATACCCATGTATCGAGTTTTTGTTAGAAAATATAGATACATTTTTTTTCACCCCCAGAACTGTTTTATATTTACTGGTGTTTCCAACCTGCTGTATATCATCTTCTCCATTGAACATTCCAACTGACTGAAATTGTGGGAATTGACACAAGTGATTGTTATTGAAACCTTGTCTGTTCATTGTTGTCTGAAAATACTTTCACGATGATTGTGTGCTCTTTTCATTTACTTGATGCTGGATGGTGACACAGTTCACCATATCTTCAACAACATCTTGGAAAAAAAGATCTTTAAGTGCAATTTAGGAATTAATTTAGAGAACTGTTATATTGCTCAGGGTAGATTGATTGGACTGGTTTATAAGCTCTGAAAATAAAAAAACTGGCTGCTTTGGAAGAGTTTCTTTGGACATATAGCAACTAATGTTTGGAAAAGGTAGGAATATTTGTGTGCGAGAGAAAGAGGGAGGGACGGAGAGATAGATTCCTTTTTGATCATTCTACTATGAACTTTACAGGAAATGTAAACTATCACCCTTTTATTAGAATTACCCCAGCAGCTTTGCACAGTGGCAGTATTGTACCCAATGATGTTTATCTGAGACACGATTATTGCTAATTGGAAGCCCAGTGTTTCTTATGATATGCTGCATATGATACTTTATTTTTGACACTATTTTCTATGCAAATGTATAAAACTTACTTAGAAAATAGCATTTACATTATTCTTAGCATACTCCAAGTAGAAATCTGAACCCACGTCTAAAAGAATATATAAATATGTGATAATGCAGCAGTTTTACATTTCTTACAAAATTCCCTTTTAGAACTTGTGTAATACCAACTGAGTTAAAGGCTAATATGATTAGGAACCAGTCTGGGATGAAGACTCAAAGCAAAATAAGATTAGTTACGAGAACTGGAACCAACATGCTAGAATTGAGGGAAATAAATTCAAAGGCTTGCTCCGAGACACTGAAAATAGGTGTTTGACATCCTCAGCCAACAACATCCCCTTGTACATTTGACAGATAATCACATCATTATGCTAAATTATAACACATAAGGAAGTAGAACACCTAAACGATGAAAATTTGACTCCATGCTGAAAAGTGTAAATCATTTTATGCCAATTGTCAGCAGGAGAACTATAAATTCAGATTGTTTCCATCTGAGCAGCTGGAACCAGTAACGTACTTTGAATCATCCCCATTGAGGATTAGCAGGTTTGATGCCATTATAACAACGACTCTATAATCTCAAAGTCATAAAACCCAGCGAAACACAACAGAAGGTGTAAAATAAAGCTTCCTTTATTAACCGAAAGGAGAAAGCCAAACAAGTGCACATACCTTGAAGGTCATGATATTGATTTGTTCGGTAATGACAGTGAACTTGTTTACCCGTACAGGACATTGTTCTCTCCTTCCTTAAAAAGCAAATATCCTGGGCTGCTGTAGGAAGTCATTGTGTCATTATGTCACGGGTACGGCATAAGGAGTCGACGGGAAGGTAGGCATTGGGCTCTAACTTGCATTCACAGAAATGTGAGATGCCACCACATAGCTTAGAACTCTATTATTAGAGTTCTATTATTATTAACATTCTCATTTGTACACAGGGTTCAAATCCACTAGTAGGAAGGCAAGTGAAAGCCCAGCATGGGGAAGTTTTGTAGGATGGATGGATAGGTGGAGGCATGCCAACACTGGTGGGTTGTACACTCACTTCTCAATGAATTTATCTTCCTTAGAGTTGAACTAAGGGTCGTTGGATAACTATGTTAAATGAAGATCATTATCGTGATGAAAAATCATGAAACTGCATCTTACTTTGGCCATGTCATGTGGGGGTGGGGATTCATTGGAGGAAGCAATTATGTTTGGAAGTCTTAGGGGTAAAAGGAAACAGTCCGTCAAAGAACAGGGTGGCTGGACACTATCAAAGCTGACATCAACCAGAGCATAGATAAACTAGATAGTGCAAGATTGGAAGATGTGGAGAGACCTGGTCCATAAACTCACCAGGAGTCGGACTTGACTGAATCGATATCATCATCATCATCTTGATAGACTTTAAGTCATTATAGGTAGAAGAATTATCTTACTACCTTGTCTATCTTTACGGAATGCTCAACCCTCAGATTTATCTCTTTAAACTGTCCTCCATCCCACTATATTCTTTCATTTTTATTTCCATTTCATTTCTGCCTATAACAGCTAATCCTCTAATTTTATCCAAAGCCAATCCTGTTTCTGGATCGGTACATACTTCCATAAAGATATTTTAAAGATTTATATTTAACTTAAACTACACATAAAACAAAGTGTGAATTATGGTACTTGAATTACGCTCAAAAGCTTTGTGGCTGAGATCTCACGATAGATATTTAGCATAATAGAGAAACTCATTTTACTCAATGCAATCTATTTTTTCCCTATGTTTCTCCACTTTCTGATCTCAGCTTTGGCAAATAGAAACCAGAACCCAGAAGCTTGTGTATGTATGTGTGTGCATGTATGTGTTGCTCTTTAAATCTGTATGTTGAATTCTGTCAATATTTGTCTGTGCCTTCTATGTTTGATGCCTTCTGTGTTTTAAGTAAGAAAATATTTTTTCCATGTCACTTTCATTAATATTCATTGAGATACAATATTTCTCCCATCAAATTTGTTCATGAATGCCAAAAAATAATCTGGATTATTTTTTTTTTTAAAAAAAGACATTTCTGCATATAAATATACATTCTTGAATATATTTCCTTACAAAAGGAAATGCATTTTGATTTTTTTTTTCTCAGCTCAATAAAATTAACACTACTAAAGCATGAATTCAAGGTATGACCAGACACTGTAAGATTAAAGTCTTCCAATTTCTCCATCTTTCACATCTTACATCTCTCTGATCTTGACCTCAGTGTGCATCAGAATTAAATGTATTCATTTATGGTCCCAGACTAAGGAAATACAAGCAAAACTAAAATTCAGTAGTGCAAGGTGAAAGAAAGCTCAAATATTCAGTAATAAAAGTAGTAACAGCATTGAGTTCGACAAGGTGTAATTATTGATAACTTGGCAACCTTTTAAATGATTCCTGATTTTTTTTTCTTAAGGCTGCAGCTTCTTGATCAGAAAGACCAAATTTCTGGCCACAGTGCCAAATACCATAGATCAGTGGTCCCCAACCCCCGGTCCGCGGACCGGTGCCGGGCCGTGGAGTACCTGGCACCAGGCCGCGCAGCAGCCGGGGGACATGAACGCTGCAGCGCAAAGGCTCCTGGGCCGTGCGCAATGGGCCATGCGCAAAAGCTCCTGGGCCGTGCCCCCACCCCTGCGCGCGCTCAGCGGGCCGCGGCGATAAAAAGGTTGGGGACCACTGCCATAGATGATACAATGGGCAATGAATTTCTGACTTAATCTCTGGATCTGAACATACACAAATATGTTCATCATATGGGAGACCAGTATTTCCATGTGTTGTCACAAAGGATTATACACCAATTCACAGAAAGGTGAAAATCCTCCTGTGAGGAACATAAAAGATACTATAAACATATCTAGGGATCATCCAGGGAATGGGTGAAGGTGCATCAATTGCACTATAATGTCAACGAATAACTTTGGCCTTACCATTTGAAAGTCTAGATCCCATATATTTGGTTTAAGGTCTTAAGATCCTTCTTTGGATCAAGGGATGGTCTTAAGACCTTAAACCAAAGATCTGGGATCTGGACTTTCAAGATGATACGGTTAAAGTTATTCGCTGATATTATAGTGTAATTGCTGCATCTCCACATATCCCCTGGATAATCCTATTATCGCGAAGCCACAATAAGCAAATCAAAGTCAGTTTCCCCTTTCAAAGATGAAGTAAACCACTAGTAGGGAATAGTAACCAGGAATAGTCTCTGAAAACTGTTTCAGCCAAAGCCTGGCACATCAAAACTCAGTTAGACTCCCAAAGAAACACAACCAAGCTCTAACCAAGTAAGAGCATTGAGATGAGCAAGAAAAACGAAGTATAGCTTTTTAAAAATTAGACTGAATAGTTTCCAAAGTGGAAGTTGACACTTCACTTTATATAGTTTAATTTCTTCAGGGATGTAATGATTGCCTTTGATAGCTCACCTATTTAAGGATCATGTTGAAGATGTTTTGGGCTCTTATAGAGAGTTCATTCAACTGATTAGTCCAAACAGGTGGAAAGATGGAAGAGGATACTCAGGTACTTAATCTGGTCAATTGAGCTTTTATTAATTTTCTATCTTAGACTTGAAGTGCTTACTGTAAAGTAGTAAAACCTTAGTTTTTGAATAGTCATTTTAAGAAATCCCATAGAATTGTAGGTTATAAATGAAAGTAGGTTTCTGCAAAGGCCCATCTGAGCTATGGATGGGATAACCACATTATCTGTGGAATGGAGATAGACTGATGGACAAGTGTTGAAACTGGCTTACTGAGGGCATAACAATCTCATTAATAAAGAAATTAAATAATAAAGGGGCAAGAATACAGCCCTGTTTCCTTCCTTTAAAAATAGGAAAAACTGCTACAGTACCATTACATATACCTCTGCTTTGTATGGGATTGTTTTGAGATAGTAAAATTATCAGCTTGAGAACATGGTGGTTGGGGGGTGTTGTGGCTAACTGCCTCATGAAGAATAAAGTCAGAGGCCACATTTAAGTCAATAAAGCAACATAAAGGGCACCTCAGAAGGACTGAAGTGTTTTCAGTTAAATATTGTAGTTTTGCACATCAACCTATTGTAGAATTGATCTGAATCCTGCCTGTTTATAGGACAGGAGATTCTTCAGAAGCATCCAATATAAATGTTGATAATAAGAAATCTTGCCCAAAGCTTAATGGTTTTTGGAAAAGGTTGATTGGACCAGAGTTGGCAGGACTCTGCCTTTATCTTTCGTTTGCATTGGGAGAGTAATAGTCACTTCCTTAGGAATTATAATAATTGTTAAGCACAGAACAAAAGAGGCTAAAACAGAAATCAGCTAGCTCGGATGTATTTTGAATAACTTGGCAAAATTATATTTTATCTGGGCTTTATGATGTTTCAATTTTTTTTTTTTATTTCTATTTCAAAACTAGGGCCCAATCAAGTAAGGAAGCAATAGTCGGCAGCCAAAAAAGTAATCATCAAATGGAACATTGAATAAATGCAATATATTTGGTTGGATCTTGCAATTGCACAACCCACAATTGCTCAAGCATCATTGCTTTTGAAAAATTTTACCTGATTCTTTTCTGCATTGCAGAATTTTTTTGTACAAAGGAACTTAAATTTCTTTCAATTTATTGCTAACTATTCTTTTTCAAGTCTTTGAAACAAACTAATCTGGGTATCCCATGATATATAGATCTAAATATGGATGACTGAAGTAATTGTGTACATTTTATAAATTATATGTCCATGAGGCCAGAATCAGTCAAACCTATTTTATGTAAGGCTCCATGTATGTCAATGGTGGCTATCCCCAGCCAACCAATTTTGTGGTTCACAAAGTTATCTCCAATTGTATAGATGAAAAAAGTGAGCCAAATGTTAATAACATGTTGGAGAAAAAGCAATGTTGAAATAAAATTAACAACAATATCCAAACTGATCTAATTTAGTTCAGAAATAAATGAATATTATTGCTAGTTCAGATACCACCCCCCCAGCAAACTGAAACTT